CACTGCTCCCAGCAGAGGATGTGGGGACAAGTCCTGCTCCTGCTGCCTCAGCAAAGGACAGGCTGGCCCTGGTGTGCTGCCCTGCAGACAGAACCAGAGCCTGCTCACTGCACCCTGGCCACTCTGCACCCAGCTCCTGCCAACATCTACATTTGTCATTATTGATCAGGACTATCTAAGTAAACAAACAAAAATAACTTCACCATAAATCTTCTTGGTATTTTTGAGGGTAGCACCTTTCAACAACAGGTTTTCAGGACCTAAAGACCTAAACATCGAAGAAAACATAACATTACATCACTCTAAGAACATTCAAACTACTTTATAAACTAGAATTAGAATAGAAAGATAAAGTTTCCTTACATATGATAACATAATTTGTATGTTAAACTGGGGCCTTGCTTGAGGTTTTTCTCTTTATATATTTCCTTATATATATTTTCTTTATATATGTTTTATACATTTCTATTTCATCTTACAAATACTATTCCAAATACAAAATTCCATTCTTTTTGGAGGATTTTCAGGAAGGCTTTTGAGGAGTAATTGCAAAATGCTCAGATCCAGTATGTTCCAGTACTCATAAAACTGCAATGTTAAAATCCTCAAAGCCTGTCCATTCCAGCCCAGTCAGTCAATGGCACCATCAAAGCTGACAGCCCCATTTGTGTTTTTATTTCTCTCTGAAACCCCCAGTGAGCCTCTGTGGCTCCCAGGCTATGAACAGACCCACCAGAGCACAAAATCCATCCAGCATGGTCTGCTGAGAGCCAGCAGTTTTGGATGGTTTATGAACATCACCTGCTCACTTTTCCTGTGGAACACTGACTGATGTTTGAGTTTTTGCTTATCTTCCAATGGCAATATTTTGTCATTGCCTGGTAAATCTGTGCCCCATCAGCAGGGCAGGACATTGCCAGTGGTCCTGCACTGCTTCCCCAAAAGGGGCTCAAACAAACCACAGGATGGCAGAAGGGAGGCCTCCTTTAGAATGATTAAAGAAAATAAATATTCCCAAAAGATGGCAGGACAAGCTCATATCTTTGAATTCTCTGTAGATGCCCAACCCCTCTGAGGAGGGCAAACAGGCAGCTGCAGGACCAACCTGGCTACAGGCTCTTGGTTACTTCCATAGATGATAATTCTTCCAACAAATCTGCGATAAAAACATGAGAAACTTGTGTTACAAACACGTTATACTACAAACAAAAAGAAAAGGCATTGACAGGGAATGGAAGCAAAACCAGAAACAAGTGAATTTGAGTTTAATGTTTCAGAGGGGTGGCTGTGCTCAGGACAGGGGGAAGCCACACACCCCCATGCTCGGGGGTGCCTGTGGGTTCACACAGCCCAGCACATCCCAGTACAGATGCAACACACCCAGAACACCTCCCTCGAGGGATCCAACACAGACCACGTACTCCTGGCAGCCATCCAGCCCAGTGCATCTCACTGGGAGCGAGATGGAAATGGGTACATGGACCATTCCTGCTGCTGGGCTGCCAAAAACCAGCTCACTACCACACAAACTGCTGCACAGGGGAGGCTCTTCTGCAAAGAACTGAGCTTTGAAGAGTTTGCTGTGCTCAGACAGAGGAGGCCCAGCAGTTTATCAGTGCCTTGGGACACCTTTTGGTCTCTGGCACGCAGAGGATGGGCTTTGCTGAACTGCAGAGCCCCAGGGGACAGTGCTGAGGGGGCTGCAGGAGGATGACACAGGCACTGCAGGGCAGGACAGGCAGGGCAGGAGGCAGGAGGGCCAGACTCACTTGTAGAGGTCAGGTTGGGGCTGCTCACACTCGATGGTGGCCGTGAGGGCGTCGATGGCCTCGTCAGTGCAGAGCACGGTGGTGTCCCGCACGGCGTAGTGAGTCTGCCACAGGACACAGGCAATGTCAGCACAGCCCCAGCTTTACAGCCCAGCACTGAAAACACACCCTGCACAAGCCTGCCAGCACCAGCAGCTCCCCCAGCCCTCGCCACGCTCGCACAGAGCGGCTGGAGCATCCCTCCAAGAAAGGATGAAGCCACCAATGCTCCAGAGAAAGCACAGCACCAAGCTGGCGGCTCTCAGTGAGGCACCCACCAAGCTCAGCATCCCTGGCTTTCCCCTGGGACCTGTTCTGGTTGGGACAGAGGTAAGGCTGTAGCTGGCCCCGTGAGGAAGGGGCTCAGCACCTGCCCTGGCTCCTGAGGGTAACCAGACAGCAGCTCCAGCACCAGGGACCAGCTCAGCCCTGCCAGACTCAGAGCTGTTTTTAGCAGCTGCTGCTGCAAAGGTTCATCTCTCATAATTAACTGAGAAGCCCACAAAGGATCTGCTCGCTGCCTTTCAGGCTCTATTTATAGGAGCCACTCAGAGCTGCAAGTCACGGCGGGCTGCACGGCAGGCTGCCTCAATCCATCTTCATAAACAAATTCATTAAAGCGCTTCCTCCGCTCCTGACGTGGGCAGCCCGTCCCCGCGCAGCCTGGGAGTCACACACTGCACAGCCCTGGCACAGAGATCCCCCTCCTGCTGCTCTGCCAACCTGCCTGGCTCTCCAGCTGCAAGCACACCTGGATCTCCCGTTCAGATCACAGCTTCAGTGACACACCAGCCAAAGCTGCTCCTGCAGCACCCAGCCCCAAACCCAGCCCTGGCGTGGGGCTCTGCACTGCTCCCAGCAGCAGGGACACCGTGCAGTCACTGACTGGTACTTCAAAGCCACCTCCCAATCAATTCCAGGATCTTCACACCCTTCGGTGCATTTAGAAAACACAGGTTCTGTTAGCTAAGGTATGGCGAAAGATTTGTGCTTCAAAGGCAGAGCCCTGACAAAAATCTTTTGTATTTCTATTCCAGTTTCACTCAGACACCTTTTCCATGCCCCAACCTGACATGCTCCAAATACCAGAAAAATCCCCACCAGGAAGGCAGCAGAAACCCCTGCAAGAGGAGGTGTGGTGATCACCCAAATGTGCTTCCTTCACCCTCCTTTTGCAGCAAACCCTGGTTCCTAATGTTAGATCTATTTCCCCAAACAGAGCTGGCTTTTCTATTCCCTCTCTCCCTTCAAACTCATCTTTACCTCCTCATGAAACAGGAGACAGTTCCCAGTCACCTACAGGAATCCACAAACCAAGAAAAAACCACCATAGTGCTTGATATAGAAACTCAGCCTCTCATCTCCAGGCTCACAAGTTAGTAAGAGCCAGGACTCATGCATGTAACACACCTGACACAAACAAGCAATAGCCTTTTAACATGGTTAGCTATTTCTAGCCTCAAGCCACTTCAAAACTGCAACTCCTCCTCACTAGTGGAACCAGCACTGTGCCACCAGCTCCCACACAGGTTATCCAGCACCAGCTAACAACCACGCATCGAGAAGGGTCCCAAATCCCAGACAAACACATTGGCATCCCCACTGTGCAGGCAGTGCCATGCCAGGGACCCCAGCAGTGCCCACCCAGCCCTGACCTTTGAATTGGACACTGTGCAGGCAGTGCCATGCCCAGGGACCCCAGCAGTGCCCACCCAGCCCCTGACCTTTGAATTGGACACTGTGCAGGCAGTGCCATGCCCAGGGACCCCAGCAGTGCCCACCCAGCCCCTGACCTTGAAGTTGGACTCGCCATCCAGGCTCGCCGTGGTGACATAACAGGTCCCATCAGTGCTGCTGGAGGCCAGGAATATCAAGTCACAGGGGAAGGTCTCATCTGCTTTCACTTCTACTATGTCTCCAACCTAGGAGGAAGGAAATACTCACATGAAGAGTCCTCTCAGCTGTTATTAGACAAGTATGATTCAGCTCCTCTCAAAGCCCAAGAGGTAAAGTGGGGTCCAAGAGGTGCACAGACCCCCCAACATCACTCCACAGCCTGATGGGGCAATCCAGCCAGCACTGACTCACAGCACCTACCTGGCACAGTCAGTGTTTATTTCTCTGCTAAATCTTGATGGAGCAAGAGGCTGTACTTGCCTGAAGTGCAGTGTGATAAATTAACATCACAGCTAAGTGTACTTTCCTGGTGTCCTTGGGAGAGTAGGAAACAGAGGAGGACTGCCTGTCCTGGAGAAGTGCAAAATGCTGACAGATCTGTCACCTGTCAGCCCTGGTGCAGCTTTTGTGAGACAGCTTTTTCAAAAGAAATCAAAGGCAGCTTCACTCCTGAACTGGGAACAGCTCTGGGAGTATCTCCTCTGAAAGTGAGCCAGCTGGGGCAGGTCTAACCCAGGACACCCCCCTCCCCTGCCCCTGTCCCCTCAGCACACAGCTCTGTGCTCCTGTCAGTGAGAACCATGTGCAGGCTCTCAGTGAACACTCACCTTGATTTTTTCACTCTCTTTCCGCACTTGCTTTGCATTTTCAACAACAAAGACGTTGCTTTTGTTCACTTCGTTGTCAGCTCTGTGCCTCAACCAGTCCTCGTACCCCTAAGGCACAGACACAGGCAACAAACTCGTAATAAAGTGAGGAAACTAATGCAAAAGGAGGAGTGAGGATCAGAGGGGTACATTAAAACTATGAGTAAGGCAACTGTCCTCAGACCCCCTTCATGCCTGAATAAACATCAGCCAGAGTAGCTCAGACTGAATCGATCCATTTTAAAAACCTTCATATGCATATTTGACAGATTCAGAACAGATTAAAATAACACAAAAATTTTCTACATGCAGGGCATGCAACGAGCAGCTAAACTACTGTAACACATTTCTATTATTCTCAGCTTTGGTAGGAACAGACTGATAATATGAATAATACACTCAGCAGCCTGCAACTCTTTCCTATGGTAACGCAGGATGAGACTCTTCCCCTTCAGTCTCTACTGGAAGAACAAGCACTGAGATTTGAAGCAGATAGATTTTATTCTAGCTCTCCTTTCCAGCCCCCGGAGATCAAACTTCTTTTTTTATTATTCACTCAGGAAACTTTAAATGCCATGTGTGCCTGTGATGGGAGGCAAAAGGTCTTTTAACACTGCAAGAAGATGAGGATTACACGTTTTCAGGACTAGCTAAGTGGCTGAACAGAACCTGTCCTCTCCACCTACCAGCACAGGAGCAGAGCGTGGGCTGTATTTGGAGCACGTCTCTGCAAGGACTCGGGGAGTGTTTCCAAGAAGAGGAAAAACATAACACCAGACCTACAGCAGAAAGCTTTACTGACCCTCCTGGCCTGCTTTCAGCAGCACAGGGATGCTCTACACTGCCAGGACAGGAGGCACCAGCCCCACACTCGACATGCAGCCTCTCTTGAAAAGCACTGTGCCTGTCTCACCCTCCAAGAAGGGTGCACCAAACCTAGCAGCACACCTTGGTGCCTTCTGAGCACACCTAAATACGTGTTTCTCTAGCCTCAAAGAGCACCTCCTCCCCACGCTGACACCTGTACCTGTTTGATAGCTGTGACAGTGATGACAAAGAAGAGCGGGAGGCCACTGGTCACCGGGCTGGTGGGGGTGTCCACTATCACCTGCAGGGAGAAAAACATTGCTGAGCCCTGCCTTTTAGGCAGCAGGAGAAGACAAAATTTTGGCTGTGGGGGGAAAAGCATGCTTATCCCACTGAGGGCAGGTCAGAGCCCAGCAGAGGAGAAAGGGAAGGAAGGGCTGATTATGAAAGGGAGGGCAGCACCAGTCAGCTTGAACCACTGACACTGGAAGGCTAAAAATAACACCCATCAGCCCAAATCACCTACGAAATATACTGCAGAACAGAGCATGAATATTTAAGTAAAACAGAAATCGAGGCTTTGTTTTAAGCTCTCAAACTTGGAGCCCAGGGCATGGTGCAGGCACCTGGGCTGCAGAGGGGCCCTGGGGCAGAGCTGGATCCTTCCAGGGCTCGCTGCAGTGCTCCAGCCACAACGAGAAAACAGCAAGCCCCCTGAGCACAGAGAAACCCCCAGGCTGGGGAACCTGCTGCTCCTCTCACTGTGCCAGGACGTGGCCCAAAGGGCAAGAAGGGCAGGGCAGGTTCATTGGTGGCAGGGAGCATTTGCACCCTCCAAACCAACACCACAAACTGCTCATTTCTCCTCCTGGAGAGGCTGGGAGCACCAGCAGCAGATGAGGGCCCTGATGAAAGGGACAGGGAAGCTCCGCACAAAGGCTTTGTGTCCCCACAATGGGACTTTGTCTCTTGTTTGTGCTTCCCCAGCAGGCTCACATCACAGCAGCATTTGGATATTTATTGTTTCAGGCTGCCTGTAAAAAGCTGTGTTAAGGACAGGGCCCCTCTTATCAGCTACGTGGACATTTTTGACTATGAAATGCTGCTGTATTTCCCTGCACCACGGAACCCAGAGAGAAAAGCCAGAAGATTCTGGCTTAGTGGCCTAAGCTTCAGGATACTGCCCTGGTGTGTCGCTGTGGGACACTATGGACCTCTCTCCAAAAGTCATCTCCACTTTCCTCCTCAGAGAGACTCTTTGCAGATTCCTAAAACAGCTTATTGCCACCAGCTTGGTCTGTCTGCAAACACTTTGCTGTGCTCACTCCAGGCCAGCCCCTTCTGCCCCGAGATTCCTGCAGGCTCCTGTGAGATCAACCAAAGAAATGTGTCTCTGTTTGTGTGCAGAGTGCTTTATGTTTAATGCACGTACTTTGTCCTATAAAGCTGGACCTGCAGGCACAGAGAAAAATAAGTTTGATGAAGAGTTTCACAACAGGTAGGGCAGGTGCACCAGGCAGCTCCTTGAGCACTGAGACACTTCACTCCCCATGCAGCACTCAGGGGGACAACCCCATTCACTTACAGAAATTTAAACAGAAGCATGAGCATCCAGGAGATAGGTGGCATTTTTCAAGGTATAACCTTGGTATTCAGAATGAATGGAGTGGCCCTGAGTGCCTTTTCAAGGGCAGTGATGTCTCAGAATGACAAGCAGCTGGGGACAGGGGGCTGCTCTGTATGCAGCCAGGGGGTCAGTGCTGCCAGGCTGGGCTTTGCTCACTTGGGTTTGTTTGCTCTCTAACTGACCACAAGGGCTGCTTCCTGATTTTGGAGGTGCTCACAGAATAAAGAACAGCCAGGCTCTTCTCTCACCTGCACAGACCTGTGCCTAAAATGGGCAAGCAGCTAGACAAGCCCAGTTTGTAGCTATAATCAGGAATATTCCATGCTCTCCACAGCCAGAGGGTCAATAGATAAAATGTAATAGCACGTCACTAAGTGGCCAGCTACACAAAAAGGACATCCTGACTCCAGGGTATCGCTTCAGTTCAAGGCAAATTACAAATTGGGTCTGACAAAATGGAGCGACGCCAGCGAGATGAAGAGATGGAGGCAAGCCAGCTGACGCCAGAGTAAATTGGCCTTTCATGCCACACTGCCAGGAGGAGCCGTGGCTCGGGATCCCTGCCCCTGCAGCAGCCAGAGGGACACGGACCAGAGCCCCTGACTGCACAGGCAAACATGCAGGCACTCATGGCTTAAACAGGAGCTGGGGACAGAGCCACAGCCCCGTCCCCAGCGC